GGAACGTATCGTGGGCCACCCCAGTTTCAAGATGACAGTGACAGACCACACAGTGGACGTATCGTGGGCCACCCCAGTTTCAAGATGACAGTGACAGACCACACAGTGGACGTATCGTGGGCCACCCCAGTTTCAAGATGACAGTGACAGACCACACAGTGAACGTATCGTGGGCCACCCCAGTTTCAAGATGACAGTGACAGACCACACAGTGAACGTATCGTGGGCCACCCCAGTTTCAAGATGACAGTGACAGACCACACAGTGAACGTATCGTGGGCCACCCCAGTTTCAAGATGACAGTGACAGACCACACAGTGAACGTATCGTGGGCCACCCCAGTTTCAAGATGACAGTGACAGACCACACAGTGAACGTATCGTGGGCCACCCCAGTTTCAAGATGACAGTGACAGACCACACAGTGAACGTATCGTGGCCCACCCCAGTTTCAAGATGACAGTGACAGACCACACAGTGAACGTATCGTGGGCCACCCCAGTTTCAAGATGACAGTGACAGACCACACAGTGAACGTATCGTGGGCCACCCCAGTTTCAAGATGACAGTGACAGACCACACAGTGAACGTATCGTGGGCCACCCCAGTTTCAAGATGACAGTGACAGACCACACAGTGAACGTATCGTGGGCCACCCCAGTTTCAAGATGACAGTGACAGACCACACAGTGAACGTATCGTGGGCCACCCCAGTTTCAAGATGACAGTGACAGACCACACAGTGAACGTATCGTGGGCCACCCCAGTTTCAAGATGACAGTGACAGACCACACAGTGAACGTATCGTGGGGCCACCCCAGTTTCAAGATGACAGTGACAGACCACACAGTGAACGTATCGTGGGCCACCCCAGTTTCAAGATGACAGTGACAGACCACACAGTGAACGTATCGTGGGCCACCCCAGTTTCAAGATGACAGTGACAGACCACACAGTGAACGTATCGTGGGCCACCCCAGTTTCAAGATGACAGTGACAGACCACACAGTGAACGTATCGTGGGCCACCCCAGTTTCAAGATGACAGTGACAGACCACACAGTGAACGTATCGTGGGCCACCCCAGTTTCAAGATGACAGTGACAGACCACACAGTGAACGTATCGTGGGCCACCCCAGTTTCAAGATGACAGTGACAGACCACACAGTGAACGTATCGTGGGCCACCCCAGTTTCAAGATGACAGTGACAGACCACACAGTGAACGTATCGTGGGCCACCCCAGTTTCAAGATGACAGTGACAGACCACACAGTGAACGTATCGTGGGCCACCCCAGTTTCAAGATGACAGTGACAGACCACACAGTGGACGTATCGTGGGCCACCCAGTTTCAAGATGAGACACAGTGACAGACCACACAGTGGACGTATCGTGGGCCACCCCAGTTTCAAGATGACAGTGACAGACCACACAGTGGACGTATCGTGGGCCACCCCAGTTTCAAGATGACAGTGACAGACCACACAGTGGACGTATCGTGGGCCACCCCAGTTTCAAGATGACAGTGACAGACCACACAGTGGACGTATCGTGGGCCACCCCAGTTTCAAGATGACAGTGACAGACCACACAGTGGACGTATCGTGGGCCACCCCAGTTTCAAGATGACAGTGACAGACCACACAGTGGACGTATCGTGGGCCACCCCAGTTTCAAGATGACAGTGACAGACCACACAGTGGACGTATCGTGGGCCACCCCAGTTTCAAGATGACAGTGACAGACCACACAGTGGACGTATCGTGGGCCACCCCAGTTTCAAGATGACAGTGACAGACCACACAGTGAACGTATCGTGGGCCACCCCAGTTTCAAGATGACAGTGACAGACCACACAGTGAACGTATCGTGGGCCACCCCAGTTTCAAGATGACAGTGACAGACCACACAGTGAACGTATCGTGGGCCACCCCAGTTTCAAGATGACAGTGACAGACCACACAGTGAACGTATCGTGGGCCACCCCAGTTTCAAGATGACAGTGACAGACCACACAGTGAACGTATCGTGGGCCACCCCAGTTTCAAGATGACAGTGACAGACCACACAGTGAACGTATCGTGGGCCACCCCAGTTTCAAGATGACAGTGACAGACCACACAGTGAACGTATCGTGGGCCACCCCAGTTTCAAGATGACAGTGACAGACCACACAGTGAACGTATCGTGGGCCACCCCAGTTTCAAGATGACAGTGACAGACCACACAGTGGACGTATCGTGGGCCACTCCCAGTTTCAAGATGACAGTGACAGACCACACAGTGGACGTATCGTGGGCCACCCCAGTTTCAAGATGACAGTGACAGACCACACAGTGAACGTATCGTGGGCCACCCCAGTTTCAAGATGACAGTGACAGACCACACAGTGAACGTATCGTGGGCCACTCCCAGCTCTCAAGATGACAGTGACAGACCACACAGTGAACGTATCGTGGGTCAACCCCAGTTTCAAGATGACAGTGACAGACCACACAGTGAACGTATCGTGGGCCACCCCCCAGATTTCAGACCAAGATGAACATCGTAATAACCCCAGGCTCTCAAGATGACAGAAGACACACAGTGAACGTATCGTGGGCCACCCCAGTTTCAAGATGGCAGTGACAGACCACACAGTGAACGTATCGTGGGCCACCCCAGTTTCAAGATGACAGTGACAGACCACACAGTGAACGTATCGTGGGCCACCCCAGTTTCAAGATGACAGTGACAGACCACACAGTGAACGTATCGTGGGTCTCCCCAGTTTCAAGATGACAGTGACAGACCACACAGTGAACGTATCGTGGGCCACCCCAGTTTCAAGATGACAGTGACAGACCACACAGTGGACGTATCGTGGGTCTCCCCAGTTTCAAGATGACAGTGACAGACCACACAGTGAACGTATCGTGGGCCACCCCAGTTTCAAGATGACAGTGACAGACCACACAGTGAACGTATCGTGGGCCACCCCAGTTTCAAGATGACAGTGACAGACCACACAGTGGACGTATCGTGGGTCTCCCCAGTTTCAAGATGACAGTGACAGACCACAGTGAACGTATCGTGGGTCTCCCCAGTTTCAAGATGACAGTGACAGACCACACAGTGAACGTATCGTGGGCCACCCCAGTTTCAAGATGACAGTGACAGACCACACAGTGAACGTATCGTGGGCCACCCCAGTTTCAAGATGACAGTGACAGACCACACAGTGAACGTATCGTGGGCCACCCCAGTTTCAAGATGACAGTGACAGACCACACAGTGAACGTATCGTGGGCCACCCCAGTTTCAAGATGACAGTGACAGACCACACAGTGGACGTATCGTGGGCCACCCCAGTTTCAAGATGACAGTGACAGACCACACAGTGAACGTATCGTGGGTCTCCCCAGTTTCAAGATGACAGTGACAGACCACACAGTGAACGTATTGTGGGCCACCCCAGTTTCAAGATGACAGTGACAGACCACACAGTGAACGTATCGTGGGCCACCCCAGTTTCAAGATGACAGTGACAGACCACACAGTGGACGTATCGTGGGCCACCCCAGTTTCAAGATGACAGTGACAGACCACACAGTGAACGTATCGTGAATGACTTCCTGCAGCAGCAGGGTATCCTGAGAATGGAGTGGTCAGCTTGTAGCCCGGATCTTAACCCAACTGAGCATGCCTGGGATGAGTTAAAGAAACCGCCCTATTCCACGGACTCTTGCTGACCTCCGTCTAGCGCTACACATGCAGGGAATGGCAGGCAATACCCCAAGCGTTCTTTATGAACTTAAAGGCCGGGATACAAATCTCCAAAGACCCGGTGGGTTTCCCATCGGCTACTCCTCAGCAGTGTAGATGTTTTTTGCCCATGAGTGACAGGGCTGTAACGGCGCCAAGCAAGAGTCTGGCGATGACAAAGGTCAACCTTAGAATTTACTACTAGAATAGATAGTGCCTTAGAGTAAATATCCTGACAACCCTTTCACAACTAATGTTGATGACTAAAGAGATTAATTTGATTAGCATATATGAAATTTCAAATTTTACTTATTTTCTGAAAATAAAATCTTCAACATGGTGATGTCAGCATCAAATAAGTGTACAGCCCTAACCCTGCACAGCATGTGGTCAGGGGAGGGTGCATTTTCAAATCTGGATTTGAAAAAGAGATATATATTTTCAAAACGTATGTTTCGTAGGCTGTCTGCTTGCATGTACATTTTACAGTGAGCCTTCATAACATACTTCTTTACCCTATGGTTTAATTTCATCATGAACCGGTAAATCAATTTTGTGAAATTACATGGAATGTACTTGAATACTGCACTGCTTTACATGGAAAGACATCTTTGACAAGGCAAGGAGATCACATTAATAAGGTGCAAGGTTCTCGTTGTGACACAACTTTGCGTGGTAATGGTGGTTACACCAGATATTGACGTTGACCGTTCCATGTGATCTTTGATCGGTTCTAATCTGTCATCCAGGATGCAGCTGGAGTTATCGGCCCTGTGACGTTTTTGTGACATTTGCTGAACATTACGTTTAATAATTAAATTTTCATCCATGACAAACCTTGTTTAGTGTTCTATCAATTGTGATTGGGCAGATTAAATTATATAAGTGACCCTTCACTAATTACGCTTAGTAAATATTATATTATATACAAAGAGATGAGCATAGGCGGGTAGAGCTTACAAGGTGGTGAGAATAGGCTGCTAGTGCTTACAAGGTGGTGAGAATAGGCTGTTAGTGCTTACAAGGTGGTGAGAATAGGCTGCTAGTGCTTACAAGGTGGTGAGAATAGGCTGCTAGTGCTTACAAGGTGGTGAGAATATGAGGCTAGTGCTTACAAGGTGGTGAGAATAGGCTGCTAGTGCTTACAAGGAGGTGAGAATAGGCTGCTAGTGCTTACAAAAAGGTGAGTATTGGCAGCTAGAGCTTACATTGTTTGAGACGTTGATGTTGTCGCATCCTAGAACCTGACAAATGTGTCAGTACACAGGACCTTTGAACAGTCTTCTGTAAAAGTTGTAACTGAGCCTCGGGTGATCCCGCACTGGAGGGATGCTGATCCAGTACTGAGCCTCGGGTGCACGTGGGGGCAGGGTGATCCCGCACTGGAGGGATGCTGATCCAGTACTGGGCCTCGGGTGCACGTGGGGGCAGGGTGATCCCGCACTGGAGGGATGCTGATCCAGTACTGGAGCCTCAGGTGCACGTGGGGGGGCAGGGTGATCCCGCACTGGAGGGATGCTGATCCAGTACTGAGCCTCGGGTGCACGTGGGGGCAGGGTGATCCCGCACTGGAGGGATGCTGATCCAGTACTGGGCCTCGGGTGCACGTGGGGGCAGGGTGATCCCGCACTGGAGGGATGCTGATCCAGTACTGAGCCTCGGGTGCACGTGGGGGCAGGGTGATCCCGCACTGGAGGGATGCTGATCCAGTACTGAGCCTCGTGTGCACGTGGGGGCAGGGTGATCCCGCACTGGAGGGATGCTGATCCAGTACTGGGCCTCGGGTGCACGTGGGGGCAGGGTGATCCCGCACTGGAGGGATGCTGATCCAGTACTGAGCCTCGGGTGCACGTGGGGCAGGGTGATCCCACACTGGAGGGATGCTGATCCTCAGTACTGGGCCTCAGGTGATCCCGCACTGAAGGGTGCTGGGTAGGGTGATCGGGTGCACTGCAGGGGATGAACCTCGGGTGCACGTAGGGGCAGGATGATGCTCGGGTGCACGTGGGGGCAGGGTGATCCCGCACTGGAGGGATGGACCTCGGGTGCACGTAGGGGCAGGGTGATGCTCGGGTGCACGTAGGGGCAGGGTGATGCTCGGGTACACGTAGGGGCAGGGTGATGCTCGGGTGCACGTAGGGGCAGGGTGATGCTCGGGTGCGCGTGGGGGCAGGGTGATCCCGCACTGGAGGATGAACCTCGGGTGCACGTGTGGGGGCAGGGTGATGCTCCGCTGCACGTGGGGGCAGGGTGATGCTCGGGTGGGGGCAGGCTGATGCTCGTGGGGCAGGGTGATCCCGCACTGGAGGGATGAACCTCGGGTGCACGTAGGGGCAGGGTGATGCTCCGGTACACGTGGGGGCAGGGTGATGCTCGGGTGCACGTGGGGGTAGGGTGATCCCGCACTGCAGGGATGAACCTCTGGTGCACGTGGGGGCAGGGTGATGCTCGGGTGCGCGTGGGGGCAGGGTGATCCCGCACTGGAGGGATGAACCTCTGGTGCACGTAGGGGCAGGGTGATGCTCGGGTGCGCGTGGGGGCAGGGTGATCCCGCACTGGAGGGATGAACCTCGGGTGCACGTGGGGGCAGGGTGATGCTCGGGTGCACGTGGGGGCAGGGTGATCCCGCACTGAAGGGATGCTCATCCGGTTTCAATGTCTGACTCCTGCTGTGTGACAACACTGATGTCACTGGATGTGAGCAATCAATATATCTAAGTAAGCTCTAGAGGTGACATACAGTGGAACTCTCACCCTTCGGACATCCGTACTCGAGAAGACAAAGTGACACCCAAGCCTTTCAAGAAAGGATTTGAATTCGTTCAGTTACATTTATATCTTTAATCATACAAAACATGATCTAACAAGCAGCTACGGAAGTATATATGATACGTGCAAACAGATAGTTTGAAAACTGTGTGATTCCTTCATTGTGTAAGTACAATCCTTCCAGGATCACTGGTTTGTTGCCCTTCAGTGCCCCTCCTTTGAACGTTATGGATAATCAAGGTAAAATATATAGGAAAATCAGTTCAGCGATCATCATATTGTTGAATATGTCACATTTAACAACAAAATGAAATGTCCGTATAAAATTTGTAAAAACAGTTATTTGGTACATGCCAGTACTAACATGTCCGTGCCATTCATGTCATGTCTCAGGGTCATATAGGTCACACACCTAACATTCACAAGTCCACAGCTTGTTCCAAATCGTACAAAAATAAGAGATGTATATATACTGAACAACATTAGAAACGCACCACCCATACAATGCGAAATATCCCCGTCAGACTGCAATGTACCCATGATATCTGAGCATCGTCGGTGCATTTTACTGTAGTGCGTTTCTAATTTTGTTCAGTATATTATGTGAGCACATCGGTTCTTAAGTCGGTGTTGATGATTTCTTGCACCCACGTAAATGTGACACCAGATTTAACTGATTCTCCACCGTCACAAACCCGTGAAGGTCCGGGATAGAATGAACCTTCAGTAACCCATGCCTGTCGTAAGAAGCGACTAACGGGATCGGGTGGTCAGGCTCACTGGCCTGGTTGACACATGTCATCGGTTCCCAATTGCGCAGATCGATGCTCATGCTGTTCATCACTGGGTTGTCTGGTCCAGATTTGATTATTTACAGACCGCCACCATATTACTGGAATATTGCTGAGTGCGGCGTAAAACTAAACTCACTCACTCCACCGTCACAGGAGGCGATCGCGTGTGAACCCCGCAGCCTCAGGGTTAGATCATCTGCTACACATCTTACTATATTTCATAGATGTTTAACAATCTCACGCACTGGAGACTCGGGTCAGTAACTATTGTGGCGCGAGTTTATACTCACGTATCTTTAGTAATCTATCCTCACTAGGGGTTCATCTTGCATAATCATGGGTTGTTTAATCTATCTCACTGGGGGTTCACCTTGCATAGTCATGGGTTGGTTACGGTCTCTTCAAACCGTGGTACCCTTTCGTGTTCAGCAAACAGTTGCTAGTGTCCTTTTACCAGTTTACAGATGTGGTGGAGAAGGCAATCGTTATATTAATTTCCGTGGAAAACTTTAACTCCCTGGATGTGGCACGGATATATACGCCCCTGCTCTTCAACTCCTAGAAATCGAATAAATCTCGCATATACTTCAATTCACAATGTGGAGATCTGTAATCCGCAGCTGTCTTTGGCGAAGTGAAACCCCCTAAAGCTAGGTTCATCTTGATTATCGCTACTTTTGACGTGTTCCAATATTCCGTGTGTGATTTGAAAACTACGGGATGTTTATCTGGAACATTTAATACAGTGATGATGATGGGTGTCTGTGATTTACCAAACCACCCATGATCATTCTGAAATGACTGTAGAATTAAACCCAGCTGCGATATATATATATATCACTGTATTCCTCATTATATATACAGTCAAATGACAAAATGTAACAGTCACTAATCTCAATGGTCCCAAATGTCTCCGTTGTGAAACACAAAGGTTCTGTTCTAATATTTGACAGTGTTTGTTCCTCTACACTTTACTCAAATCTGTCTAAAAGAACATTTATGATACGGTTCTTTTATATGTATACTATACAATTGCTACACGTGACATTTCTGAAAACTGTTAACTGGCTCGTCTGCATCTCATATTTTGCTGACAGATGCATCCTGATGGCGACAATTTGTAATTCCCACACAGTTCCACCAAAGTCTACACATGTAAATCATCCATCACTTCGGGCTTCCGCCTCTCACTTCCAACTGCTTTGCGACTGGACTATAATCTTTAAGTCATTGCTTAACATAAATGATGTCTTGGATTTTATACTGCTTGTCGATGACGTCACAACTGTAAATACATACAGCTGAATGTTATTTATTCTTGATACTTTATGTTAAATACACATTTCCTCCCGCAATAGTCCAAGGGGGGTAACTCATGATCAGATCAGTAAAAACTGTGGAGTTGTCTGTCCGGGTGTAACTGTGTTGAGCCTGACCAGGAAGGCCCTCTGTAGGTTCCCAGTTGTATCATTCCAGCAAGATTCTTACAGCTTTCCGCGTGGCGACGAATTCCATTTGAATTAAAGGGACCAACTCTGACGACATATCAAGATGATCGCAATCTCATGCACCTAGCGAGGCGTCTGCGTGTTACTAACTGGTAGCTGAAGGTACTGTTTATCGTAGTTATTTCGAGTGCCATCAACCCTGGCCAAGCGCTGCGATGGAGTCTTACTCGCGGCTACTGCCGAGCCATAACCCCGCAGTACACTGTCAATCTCCAGCAGTACACTGTCAATCTCTAGCAGTACACTGTCAATCTCCAGCAGTACGATTGTACAGCAGTACACTGTCAATCTCTAGCAGTACACTGTCAATCTCCAGCAGTACGATTGTACAGCAGTACACTGGCAAACCCCCGCAGTACACTGTCAATCTCAAGCAGTACACTGCACGACTGTCAGACCCCATCGCGGCTCCCGGCTACATCGGCTCCCGGATCATGACACGGAGACGTCATGAGTTATAGAGTTATATAAGTGGTTAGCAATGCGTCCTCTGAGTCTCTATAAAGTCTTCACTCATTTCTGATATTGTTAATGAATGTGAATAAAGTCTTAGATTAGTATTTCGATGGTAAGTGATTTCATATTTTACTGACGTTTCGCTCACTATTAGAACGTCGCACGTCTAACGCATCATATGAAATCACACATAGTAATTGAAACAGGCGAAAAACAATCAGAGTGGTATGGCTCTGGACGCAGACAGTAGGTATGCATGTGAAATATTTCTGTATGTTGATATTGCTGTTCGTACCGCTTAGAATTAAATTCATTATAAATATGCCATACTCAAACGAATGACTCAGACACTGGAAGATTCGTCTCTCCTCATCAAATAACAGTCTGTTGGCAAAATAACGTCACCTGTGGTTGAGGAGGTTGTTTAGTCTTGGACAGTTTTACCACAGGACCCATATGCAAATGGACTGCTTGAGTTCCCTGGACCCCATACATACTCCAGGTTAACATGCCTGTAAATATTATGCCCTACGTACCACCGCGGACGTCTTTTTTCAGGAATTAATTTGACTGAACCCTTAATAGATTTGTTCCTGTCGTTCAAAACAAAACAGAAAAGAATGTGCTTTCTAGTTTCTCATGTGAACTTGTGAAATATGATCAGACCTGCTTGCTAATTTCTCGTAATTTCTGCATATTTTAATGCAGGTACGTTGTAACAGAAACCGGTATATGTATTATACAATTATATCACTATTTAATGATTGGAAGACACAAACAAACATAGTAATCATAACCAAATCAGACCTACTTAACGAGATGCTGCTTTTGTTGTATGTAAATAACCTAAATATCGTCTAATCATTTGCATCCTCGATTATCAAATGTATCACCTGGGTGCCGTTGTACCAACCGACCATAGCGCTACTTTAAGGTGATCGTAACTCCCATAACGCACAGACTTACGACTGTCGTAGTGCTAATGTTGCTTTGTACAATGGCACCAATTCCTTTGTGTTTGAAAATACATCCCATCTCCTATCTGATATTTTGCTTGCTCATTAGTGTGAGTGAGTGAGTTTAGTTTAACGCCGCACTCAGCAATATTCCAGCTATATGGCGGCGGTCTGAAAATAATCGAGTCTGGACTAGAAAATCCAGTGATGAACAGCATAAGCATCGATCTGCGCAATTGGGAACCGATGACATGTGTCAACCAAGTCAGCGAGCCTGACCACCCGATCCCGTTAGTGGCCTCTTAAGACAAGCATGGGTTACTGAATATCAGTTTTATAACCCAGACCTTCACGGGTCCTCGTTACAGTAATCTGACTGGGCATCTGTATGTTGTGTAGACTCTGGTCACTCAATGAGCACGTGAATGGGTCAAGGATCAGTAGTAAAACGGGGATGTGATATACAGAATAATCGGGAATTGTTCATTGCAGGCATGTTTCACAAAATACTTATTTATTATTTTCAGAAACAGTGTGAAAATCGAGTGATAAAAAGACCATCCGCTGCAATGGAAGTCTCGCGTATAGGGGTAATCCTGATCGATCTCCAAAAGGCCTTCACCCTGGGTCAGTGGATGCAAGCAGTTGGGCCTGGTGACGTCACACGCATCTCGCAAGTGTTCTCCCGATCTGCGCATATCGTGAAGCATCTCCCTGATGATGTACCACTTCTGTTGACCCGCTGTCTGTTCAGGCGGGAACATGACTTCGAATTTGACTCAGAGGTCGCCAACGGTCTCCAAAACAAAACCTACACAGAGATTATTAAGCCTAACACAAGAATCCTGGATTTCGATCCAGACGGTGTTAAAGCGTGGATTCAAAGAATCAGAGAAGAAAATATTATAACAGTTTTGATTGGTGGGTGCACGACAACCAGTTGCGTGAGACAGAGTTCTATTCAACTGCAGCAGAATTTCAGTACGAAAGGTGACCCTCGGTTCGTAGTTGATCTAAGTATGTGTGGTGCTCGCGACAGCAACTATCTGAAGCGATGTGTTACGTGTATGGAGAAGTACTTGAGCGGTTATGACGAGCGTTGCAAGGTCTGTGAGGAGTCTGGCGGGACGTCTCCGGTAGATAAAGCCGTGGAAGATATGACGCAAGCAGGAGTCACGGTTGTAGAACAATTTGACTGGTCGAAATATCTGACGAAAGAATAAATCACTTTTGAAAACAGTTTGTTTCTGTTATTAGACTTTTTAAAAATGAAAATGCAGGCCATTTTCTCTGCAAATTTAATCTGGTGTGAAACGTAATTTTGAATTTAATTCATATCTGCCACCCGTGTTGAGAAATGGTCTTCAGCCACACAGGCTTGTCGTGAAAGGGGACTTGAGGCATGGTGACTGGGTTGATGCATGTTATCGTTCCTCTCTCAAGTAGATCCATGCTCATAACATACACTTCGGGAATGTCTGGTCCAAACTTCATCTTCAGAACACCATGTCAGGGACACCACTATGTCAGGCTCACCACCATGTCAGGCTCACCACCATGTCAGGGTCACCACTATGTATGATCACCACCATGTGAGGCTCACCACCATGTCAGGGTCACCACTATGTATGATCACCACCATGTGAGGCTCACCACCATGTCAGGGTCACCACTATGTATGATCACCACCATGTATGAGGCTCACCACCATGTCAGGGTCACCACTATGTCAGGGTCACCACTATGTATGGGTCAGGGTCAGATCACCACCATGTGAGGCTCACCACCATGTCAGGGTCACCACTATGTCAGGGTCAGTATTAGTAGATACGTGGATACACGAGCTGGTGTATCCTATATCTGCTGGTGTGATGTAAGTCCGTTGTGCATACAGAAGTCCATTTTATATCGCCAGAGACCATATAATAGGTCTATTATATGGTCTCTGATATCGCCATTCCTGAAAGAAAACATGTTTTAATTCCATAATACACAGTGTAACGAACTTCCAAGGGTCTTGTGAAATAGGTTCGTCATATTCTTAGTTCAATATCCGTTAGTTGCGCAAACAGTACAGTATGTATTTGCCAACACTGAAGCTTGTAAATCAGAGAGGTGAAGATAAACAAACTTGTTTCCAGCCTCCCAGAATAACAGGGGTTTTGGATTTCTGGACTTTACATACTTGTATTGTCCTTAGCATAAGAGGGCACATCCATGGACGGTTGCTCCAGGTGAACTCTCAGTGACCTTTGACCGCCCAGACCAACACAGAGGATGATAGGGCTTATCATTTCAAGACGAGTTGATTTCTCTACCTCCTGGGTTTGGACATACAATACACAGGTTCAATTACTGGTGCCAGTACAACAACCTTGAAGATTGTTTATTGAAATCCGTTCCTTAATTGTTTATGTTTGAACGGTTGACCTATTTTAGTCTAGTCAGCACTATTCAATCACTGGCACGGGTATCAGTTAGGCAGTATACAGAAACGTACCTTGGCCATAATGCGAATACAGAACGTATCCTAGGACGATTCCATTCCCATTGTGTCGTATTCTTGACCGGAACTGTCATACTGTTGTATTAGATACATTTGATTGCCTTATGTAAGTAATGAGAATACACAGTAACGGATATTTCGCGTTGCACATGAATACCACTCGGAATCAGTTGAACGGGAACAACTACATACGGTTTCGCTTTTGGATTGCGGAATATGGACTCGTCCGCCTTTTAGGGTACCGGGTACGTTTCTGTATTTTGACTTTGTTTAGGGTACATATGTGTATACAGAAATGTACCTGGGGTACGTATCTGTAGTATCTGTGCCGACAACGACCCCTTCAGCATCAGTTAGTTAAGCAATGTTCTGAAAGAACTATTTCAATTCTTAAAAAAAACCCGAACACTATGCAGTATGTATTTATAAATGATAAGGCACTTGCACCTTTAAGTCACATGCCAATGTAATAATGGGACACAAACAAACAAATAGATCAAGTTTCATGTTATGAATCTTATTATGCATCTGTCTCCCGAAGACAGTGTAGGGGAGGTAAATCTGTCGTTCCAGATTTACTCGCGTGCATATTTACAGTTAGAGGTAAACGAAATAGTTTACTTTTTTTGCCTGAAACTAGTGTATCGATAAGAAATTACCATGATCAGCATTTTATTTGCTTATTACTCTGAGCAGCCTTTCATTTGTTGAAATGTTTGATGAGTACGTATACGTATCGTATGAGTATGATACTCGCGTCTAGTACTAGGCTATGATGTAACCGGAAGCGCTGCATCATCCTATATTTAGACTTTTAGTCTGCGTTTCTTTTCCGGTTAAAACTATTCCTTGTGTACTGATGTCACAACAGATCAGGTGGTCAGCTACGAGATAAAGTAAGACCATTTATCACCAGTTGAATGTTTAGTGTTAGAGTGGAATGTTTACAGCCGACAGATAGAGGGGAATGTGTGAAAAACTCCCCTCCGTGCAAGTCTGTCATAGACTAAATCAGTCACAGCGTGAATATGAATCATGCAGTTATTATTGTTTATGGTCAGCTGTGTGTTATTAATTCTATCAGATAACAACACCTGTCGTCTCACTTCAACGAAACGATTAAGAGGTCAGTGATATACTGTGACTAAGCTAGGATGAGGTCAATGTCTGCTAAGCTGAACCGTATCAAGGTCTGGTGTTCGTAACAGTGTTTACAATTGGGTGTCGAGATTTGTCTGTGATGGGATTTATGTGTTGCTTTGGGACAGAGATCATTACTCAGTACTGTGTCTCGTCTCTTTTAGTGATTAGTAATTTAGATCATTTTTCGAACATGACAGTATGCTTTACATTACACTTTTTGATAGGTTAGAACTTTGTGTCTTCAAAGGAGTCCCTGTCGGGCCAGATATAAATGCACATGATTTGAGTTATCATTGTGACGGGGCGGTGGGGTAGCCTAATGGTTAAAGCGTTGGCTCGTCACGCCGAAGACCCGGGTTCGAATCCCCACATGGGCACAATGTGTGAAGCCCGTTTCTGGTGTCCCCCGCCGTGATGTTGCTGGAATATTGCTAAAAGCGGCGTAAAACCAAACTCAGTCAGTCAGTATCATTGTGACTTGAAATATTGCAGTATGTCTTCCTGTTCCATGTAGATGCACAGTAAGATTTGTGTTCATGTATACTGCTGAAAAGGGGATAGTAGGTGTGCAATGGGAGTATCTGTTTCAAAGGGATTAGAGTCTGTATTCCACTTCTCTCTTGGAGATTCCAGATGTGAACAGGTGCCCTCACCTCAGGTACCCCAGTCTCAGGTCCCCCCACCTCGGGTCCCCCCAGTCGCAGGCCCCCAACCTCAGGTCCCCTAGTCGCAGGTGCCCCAGCCTCAGGTCCCCTAGTCTCAGGTCCCCCAGCCTCAGGTCCCCAAGTCTCAGGTCCCCCAGCCTCAGGTCCCCAAGTCTCAGGTCCCCAGATCCTCAGGTCCCCCAGCCTCAGGTCCCCATCCTCAGGTCCCGAGAGGCAACCACATTGATCATCTGGTGACACTTGTTGATATGTGTGATTGTACCTTCTTGGTGTGTCAGGTCCCTAGAAGCAACCACATTGATCATCTGGTGACACTTGTTGATATGTGTGATTGTACCTTCTTGGTGTGTCAGGTCCCTAGAAGCAACCACATTGATCATCTGGTGACACTTGTTGATATGTGTGATTGTACCTTCTTGGTGTGTCAGGTCCCTAGAAGCAACCACATTGATCATCTGGTGACACTTGTTGATATGTGTGATTGTACTTTCTTGGTGTGTCAGGTCCCTAGAAGCAAACACATTGATCATCTGGTGACACTTGTTGATATGTGTGATTGTACCTTCTTGGTGTGGATTGTTCGCTATATTGATCACAGGATCATCTGGTCCAGGCTCAATCATTTACCAACCAATGTCATATGGCTGAAATATTGATGAGTGCTTCAATTAACAACATTCAGACAAACCTTTTCCATCAGGATGAAAGTACTCAAATTTGATACTTTCCTCCTACACTTAACTCCCATGTTTACCCGTGAAGGTCTGGGTTAGAATATTGATCTTCAGTAACCCGTGCTTGTGGTAAGGGGCGACTTTTGGGATCAGGTGGTCAGGCTCGCTGACTTGGTTGACACATGACGTCGGTTCCCAATTGCGCAGATCTATGGTCATGTTGTTGATCACTGGATTGTCTGGTCCAGACTCGATTATTTACAGACTGCCGCCATATAGCTGGAATATTGCTGAGTGCGGCATAAAAATAAACTCACTCACTCATTTGATCATGAAACAGTGTTGACACAGTGGATATGTTCATATAACTGATGAAATTTGAAAAGAATTAAACAAAATATTTCTTATTTTCAGAGTTTCTTTTGTGAGTGAACTTGGCATTAGTTACAATAATGGCGTGAGGTTAGTTATGTTTTAATGTTATCAGTAAAATACAAATCTTCTTTATGAAGATTAATGATCATGATTATAGCTACGTCAAAATGAGTTGAAAATGAATTTTTAATAATATTTGCTGCAGATTTGGGATAGAATATCAATATCTGATCCAGTGTTGACAAATCCCTGTAATCATAGTCGTAATATGAAGTTTTCATGTATATCATTACAGGTAACAGAGACATGGAGAGTGACTCAACCTTCATTGTTCAAGGAATCACAAGATTAACACTTGAACTCAGATGATTCATGGTCCACAGAGATTGGCGATTCAGTGAAACATCTGTTGTTGAATGGCTGTTGCACATTTCAGTATTTCCCCAACCATGGTGACTCATGGAATGAAATCAAACATTTTTGACGACAAGGTTTTACATGTGTCAGGCAATTCCAGTACAACACTGACCCCGCCACTGATGAACTCCCCCATGTTGAGAAACGGCTCCTTCATTCCTTCAGCAGTAATCTCACAACCCCCCTGTCAGTGGATTCTGTACGCTGATGTTGGCAACTCAGGGTAAGCATATTGAGTGAGGTATGTCGTTGGATTCTGTACGCTGATGTTGGCAACTCAGGGTAAGCACATTGAATGAGGTATGTCAGTGGATTCTGTACGCTGATGTTGGCAACTCAGGGTAAGCATATTGAGTGAGGTATGTCAGTGGATTCTGTATGGCGATGTTGGCAACTCAGGGTAAGCACATTGAGTGAGGTATGTCATTGGATTCTGTATGGCGATGTTGGCAACTCGGGGTAAGCATATTGAGTGAGGTATGTCATTGGATTCTGTATGGCGATGTTGGCAACTCAGGGTAAGCACATTGAGTGAGGTATGTCATTAGATTCTGTATGGCGATGTTGGCAACTCGGGGTAAGCATATTGAGTGAGGTATGTCAATGGATTCTGTATCGCGATGTTGGCAACTCTGGCTAAGCACATTGAGTGAGGTATGTCATTGGATTCTGTATGGCGATGTTGGCAACTCAGGGTAAGCACACAAAGTGAGGTATGTCATTGGATTCTGTATGGCGATGTTGGCAGCTCAGGGTAAGCACATTGAGTGAGGTATGTCATTAGATTCTGTATGGCGATGTTGGCAACTCAGGGTAAGCACATAAAGTGAGGTATGTCATTGGATTCTGTATGGCGATGTTGGCAACTCGGGCTAAGCATATTGAGTGAGGTATGTCATTGGATTCTGTATGGCGATGTTGGCAACTCAGGGTAAGCACATTGAGTGAGGTATGTCATTGGATTCTGTATGGCGATGTTGGCAACTCAGGGTAAGCACATAAAGTGAGGTATGTCATTGGATTCTGTATGGCGATGTTGGCAACTCGGGCTAAGCATATTGAGTGAGGTATGTCATTGGATTCTGTATGGCGATGTTGGCAACTCGGGCTAAGCATATTGAGTGAGGTATGTCATTGGATTCTGTATGGCGATGTTGGCAACTCAGGGTAAGCACATTGAGTGAGGTATGTCATTGGATTCTGTATGGCGATGTTGGCAACTCGGGCTAAGCATATTGAGTGAGGTATGTCATTGGATTCTGTATGGCGATGTTGGCAACTCGGGCTAAGCATATTGAGTGAGGTATGTCATTGGATTCTGTATGGCGATGTTGGCAACTCCGGCTAAGCATATTGAGTGAGGTATGTCATTGGATTCTGTATGGCGATGTTGGCAACTCGGGCTAAGCATATTGAGTGAGGTATGTCATTGGATTCTGTATGGCGATGTTGGCAACTCGGGCTAAGCATATTGAGTGAGGTATGTCATTGGATTCTGTATGGCGATGTTGGCAACTCGGGGTAAGCATATTGAGTGAGGCATGTCATTGGATTCTGTATGGCGATGTTTGCAACTTGGGCTAAGCATATTGAGTGAGGCATGTCATTGGATTCTGTATGGCGATGTTGGCAACTCGGGCTAAGCACTTTGAGTGAGGCATGTCATTGGATTCTGTATGGCGATGTTGGCAACTCGGGCTAAGCATATTGAGTGAGGTATGTCATTGATTCTGTATGAATATGTTGGCAACTCAGGGTGCACATTGAATGAGGTATGGCGATTCTGTATGGCGATGTTGGCAACTCGGGGGGTAAGCACATTGAGTGAGGTATGTCATGGATCTGTATGGCGTGTTGGCAACTCAGGGTAAGCATTATTGAGGTGAGGTATGTCATGTTGGCAACTTCGGTAAGCATATTGATGAGGTATGTCATGTTGGCATGACAGGGTAAGCATATTGAGTGAGGTATGTCATTGGATTCTGTATGGCGATGTTGGCAACTCGGGCTAAGCATATTGAGTGAGGTATGTCATTAGATTCTGTATGGCGATGTTGGCAACTCAGGGTAAGCACACAGAGTGAGGTATGTCATTGGATTCTGTACTGTTGTGTTGGCAACTCAGGGTAAGCACTTTGAGTGAGGTATGTCAATGGATTCTGTATGGCGATGTTGGCAACTCAGGGTAAGCACATTGAGTGAGGTATGTCATTGGATTCTGTATGGCGATGTTGGCAACTCGGGGTAAGCATATTGAGTGAGGTATGTCATTGGATTCTGTATGGCGATGTTGGCAACTCAGGGTAAGCACATTGAGTGAGGTATGTCATTGGATTCTGTCTGCACTTTTGGACTATCTATCATAATTGTGCAAGTATTGTGCATCATTGTCATGCTATTGTGCATTGTTGGCCCATCCACCTGTATTGTGCTATTGTGTTTTGAGCTGGACACGATATATATTTCCCATGGTCACAGGGTGAGGATCTGGGATCTCATCATCCTCATCCCCAATGCACTGTTCCTGATGTTCCTGCTATGGCGTCTCAAGTCCACCGTCTCCAAGCTCAGGACACACACAAGCCCCATCTTCATGGCCTTCTATTTTCTTGTGAGTAGCAGTTGATTATAACAGCATGTATCTGTACAAGCTGTGACGTTTCAGATTCACGTGATGGGATTCGAACCTGGGACCTTTAGAGGTTGAAAACCTTGTCCACATGACCAATAACACTATGGCCTTCTGTGCCATGTAGCAGGACACTGAGTCTTGCTCAGAAGTAACATGAACGTGGTCAGCTCCATTTTGGGAACCAATTTAGTCGCCATAACATTGCTCTGGTATTTGACCACAGGCCTGGCCTGAGGTGGGATGCCTTTGTCAAATGACCCAAGATATTGACCCGAGAAAGAAGATGACAAGGTTGGTAAGTGGGGGATGACTCCACACTCAGGTTCATTCACATCAACATGGAGATGTATGGAAATGGACTGGTACGTTCCACTGGATGTTTCCTCCTCATGGCTGAACGGTCCATTATGATTACATTGTCTGATTATTTTGTTCGTAACCAGAAACAATTTTGAATTGATCAGTGTACCAAATTAAACCATCTCCTGGTTTTCAGCTGGCAACAACAGTCGCAATCTGGTTGCAAGAAGAGCACACATGTGTTTTAGATCTTTCTATACGATCATTATTTCAACTGTTAACCTATGACTGTATGATGTGTTTTGTGCAGGTGTTCCTGGTAGCAGTGATCAGCGTCTTGCGGTGTATTGTGTCAATGACAGTCAATGCATCTGTCCTGGCAGGAGATATAGCAGACAAGGTGGGTGTGTCACTTGTGTCAGATTTTTCTTATTGACACTTTCCTTCATAAGTCCCCAAACATTTTCCATTGGATTTAGGTCAGGGCTATAGCTTGGCCAATCTAATAATGTCATATTTTGGGTCCGAAACCAGGCCTGAGAATGCTTTGAACGATGTTTTGGGTCGTTGTCCTGCTGGAACATCCCAAACTTTCCATAGAACACGTGAGCAGATGGAAGTAAATTCCCTTGAGAATATCTGTGTACCACTCACTGTTCATATTCCCTTCAAATACACAGAGGGGCGTTGCCCCTAACACAGATATGCCACCCCACACGTTAAATTTCGGACTGTACTTTGGGCGCTGATGCAAACATTTTTCAGTTTGTTTGGTCCAGAATTTCAGTGTATTAGGAAACAGCCACACGGAACTTTCATCTGAGAAAATCACATTGTCCCAGTTAAAATTTCTATTCTTTAAGAACCAGTTCAACCTTCGCTTCTTTTTGTTCAGGTTTCATGATCGCTGATGGAATTCCTCGACTTTTCTGCCAACCCATTACATGCAGCTCAGTTCTAATTGTCTCTTTAGCCACAGTTCCTCTATCAATCATATCCAGCCTTAAGTTTTCTAAACTCCTTCGTTTGTTTTTAGAAACAATATACCAAGCCGCCTCCTGTCACTGACAGTCAATTTTCTTGGCCTACCTGCGCCTCCCTGGTGCTCAATGCCATATCCATTTGCAATATTTTTCAAAACACGATAAGCAGTGGACAAAGGGATGCCTGTTCTACTTGAAATCACTTTAGCTGATCTAATGTCCTTGTTATAATACTCTAAAATCAACTTCCTCTTCTCTAAATCATCCATACTGAGGATCACTGAAAATGTCGTCTGCTAGCAAGTAAACAAAGGGGGATAACTCTTCACAAACTAATGAAAAAGGATTAATGGAGTTGTCTCTCTTGAATGAAACTAAGCACTTGATAGCTGGTCAAGGTTGTTTATACTAGAAATCCAATTAAACATATTCTTAAATTCCCAATAATTTCTGGTCCTACTATAGTAACTATAAGTGCACTAAGTCCTGGGTCTCTGTTGAGAAGTGCTGTGAGGTAGTGTTCACTAGAGAACAACACACATTGAAAGTTGTGGAATAATGTCATTTGTCTCTCACTTGAGGGGTAAACGTGTCTCAAAATTGTTACGTTATCATGCGATGTATCCATGGAAATCCATGTCCCAGTACCCAATGCGTATTGTAATAAGGTGAAGACTGAAAGTTTTGTGTAACTGAACTTGGCTATTGTGTGTTGTTGTCTGTCGGTTTGGAACGCCAGTAATGGTTTGTCTAGTCCCAAAATTCCCCAAACTTGACCTTTATAGATGACGTTGATATAGCTGGAATATTGCAGATTGTTATATTAACACCCCACTCCAGTAAGTCTTCTTGCTGAGGTTTAATGTCTGCTGTAACCATGGTAACTTGTCTTGCAGGTGCTGTGGTTGATCCTGCGGTTTTTCCTGCTGGCGACTGAGCTGTCAGTTGTCACCTTCGGTCTGGCATTTGGTGAGTACAGCAGTCAGATACTCTACCCAGCATCACCACTCCGGGCATTTAGACATCAGAGGGAGCTGTGGATATTGGAACATTGGGGCAGTGGGATAGCCTAGTGGTTAAAGTGTTCACTTGTCACGCTGAAGGCCCAGGTTCAATTCCCTACTTTGGTACAATGTGTGAAGGCCATTACTTGTGTCCCCTGCTGTGATATTGCTGGAATAATGCTGGACTTAAAACTCACTCACTACTCAATATTGGAAAATTATAATTTCTAGAAGGTAAAAATATTTCTCTGGTGTTGTAACTGTATCAGCAACGTTGTGTGTCCCACCAACGTTGTGTGTCCCACCAACAATCATTACAGTGCCAGATCTCCACAGGCACATAATTCATGGAAGATGCGAGACTAGTACTTATGTTTTCCTACAGGTCATCTGGACAGTCATACAAGTATCCGCCGGGTGGTGGTTGTCACCTTCACTGTAGCACTTGCCTACTCCTGTACCCAGGTGAGAATACCGACTGACTTTGACTGTAGGTCTTGCCTACTCCTATACCCAGGTGAGAATACCGACCGTGACTTTGACTGTAGGTCTTGCCTATACCTGTACCGGAGTGAGAATACCGACTGACTTTGACTGTAGGTCTTGCCTACTCCTATACCCAGGTGAGAAAACCGACTGTGACTTTGACTGTAGGTCTTGCCTACTCCTGTACCGGAGTGAGAATACTGACTGTGACTTTGACTGTAGCTCTTGCCTACTCCTATACCCAGGTGAGAATACCGACTGACTTTGACTGTAGCTCTTGCCTACTCCTATACCCAGGTGAGAATACCGACTGACTTTGACTGTAGGTCTTGCCTACTCCTGTACCCGGGTGAGAATACCGACTGACTTTGACTGTAGCTCTTGCCTACTCCTGTACCCAGGTGTGAATACCGACCGACTACCCGACTGACTTTGACTGTAGGTCTTGCCTACTCCTATACCCAGGTGAGAATACCGACTGACTTTGACTGTAGGTCTTGCCTACTCCTGTACCGGAGTGAGAATACCGACTGACTTTGACTGTAGCTCTTGCCTACTCCTATACCCAGGTGAGAATACCCTGACTGACTTTGACTGTAGCTTTCTGTGCCTCACTCCTATACCCAGGTGAGAATACCGACTGACTTTGACTGTAGCTCTTGCCTACTCCTATACCCAGGTGAGAATACCGACTGACTTTGACTGTGGTCTTGCCTACTCCTATACCCAGGTGAGAATACCGACTGACTTTGACTGTAGGTCTTGCCTACTCCTGTACCGGGAGTGAGAGAATACCGACTGACTTTGACTGTAGGTCTTGCCTACTCCTATACCCAGGTGAGAATACCGACTGACTTTGACTGTAGGTCTTGCCTACTCCTATACCCAGGTGAGAATACCGACTGACTTTGACTGTAGGTCTTGCCTACTCCTATACCCAGGTGAGAATACCGACTGACTTTGACTGTAGGTCTTGCCTACTCCTGTACCCAGGTGAGAATACCGACTGACTTTGACTGTAGGTCTTGCCTACTCCTATACCCAGGTGAGAATACCGACTGACTTTGACTGTAGGTCTTGCCTACTCCTGTACCCAGGTGAGAATACCGACTGACTTTGACTGTAGGTCTTGCCTACTCCTATACCCAGGTGAGAATACCGACTGACTTTGACTGTAGGTCTTGCCTACTCCTATACCCAGGTGAGAAAACCGACTGTGACTTTGACTGTAGGTCTTGCCTATACCTGTACCCAGGTGAGAATGCTGACTGTGACTTTGACTGTAGCTCTTGCCTACTTCTGTATCCAGGTGAGAATACTGAAATACTGACTGTCACCTTCACTGTAGCTCTTGCCTACTCCTGTACCGGAGTGAGAAAACCGACTGTGGGTTTGACTGTAGCTCTTGCCTACTCCTGTAACCAGGTGAGAATACTGACTGTCACCTTCACTGTAGCTCTTGCCTACTCTTGTACCGGAGTGAGAAAACCGACTGTGGGTTTGACTGTAGCTCTTGCCTACTCCTGTACCCAAGTGAGAATACCGACTATGATTTTGACTGTAGGTCTTGCCTACTCCTGTACTCAGGTGAGAATAACGACTGTGATTTTGACTGTAGGTCTTGCCTACTCCTGTACCCAGGTGAGAATACCGAGTGTGATTTTGACTGTAGGTCTTGCCTAGTCCTGTACCCAGGTGAGAAGACTGACTGTGACTTTGACTGTAGCTCTTGCCTACTCCTGTACCCAGGTGAGAAGACTGACTGTGACTTTGACTGTAGCTCTTGCCTACTCCTGTACCCAAGTGAGAATACTGATATACTGACTGTCACCTTCACTGTAGGTCTTGCCTACTCCTGTACCCAGGTGAGAATGCTGACTGTGACTTTGACTGTAGGTCTTGCCTACTCCTGTACTGGAGTGAGAATACCGACTGTGATTTTGACTGTAGGTCTTGCCTACTCCTGTACCCAGGTGAGAATGCTGACTGTGACATTGACTGTAGCTCTTGCCTACTCCTGTACCCAGGTGAGAATGCTGACTGTGACATTGACTGTAGCTCTTGCCTACTCCTGTACCCAAGTGAGAATACTGATATACTGACTGTCACCTTCACTGTAGCTCTTGCCTACTCCTCTACCCAGGTGAGAATACTGACTGTCACCTTCACTGTAGCTCTCGCCTACTCCTGTACCCAGGTGAGAATACTGACTGCCTACTCCTGTACCCAGGTGAGAATATTGACTGTGGGTTTGACTGTAGCTCTCGCCTACTCATGTACCCAGGTGAGAATACTGACTGTCACCTTCAATGTAGCTCTTGACTTTAATGCTTGTAAGTAGTGTACATTTTGCCAGGTGTACAAGCTCAGCTATTGTACTGGATATTTTAGATATTGTACCCCAATGTTTTAGATGTAGCTGTTTCAGCATCAGCTCCAGCATTATGTCATGTTTGTCTTTACTTTGTACATGTATGATTGTTTCTGCCGCAGGGAACACTTGAGTTTGTGCGTCCGGACCCAAAGTTCCATGTGGAGTCTGGTGCAAATGCTACGGAGAACTTTGACATCTTTGCCCATGGTGGCATGATCTTCTGGTTCTCAAGTTCCCTCTTCTTCTCTATTGTAAGTCAATTTTCATGGCAGTCGGAAGGTCAAGTGTCTGAAAGTTTAAGGTCAATTAGGAGATAATCCTATTGTGTTTACATTTTGGAAGAGATTATAGTTGGTTGAACGCTGCTAAATGTTCAACCAACTATAATCACTTCCAAAATGTAAACACAATAGGATTATCTCCATTCTACCATGACATATGCACCATGAATAAGACGCGTTTTAAATATGCACTCATTACCCTTGCGTAGTATTTTGACAGGCCTAGACTACGACGCTTAGAAACTGGACATTATGACGTTTACATACTCATACCTTCGGTACTTAGAGTTACATTGGGTGATTGTTCAGTCATTTCATGTTGGAACCAGGCTGGGTCAATAGTTTCCTCCATATTAGACCCAAATACATCAAAGAAATCTCTGAGGTCAAACGTAACAGTTTCAGACGACATGTTTGTTTACCTTTGTAAGAGTTAATGAGTGCAAAATATTCCTACACGCAGTGAACCGGCTCTCAGAAGTGGTTATTGAAAATTTTTCACTTCTAATTTCTTAGTAACAGCCAATCAAAAACGAACATACTTAAATGTCATGGTAGAATATGCCATTTTCAGTAATGTATTTTCTTCATAATATAAGTACTCTGAAATGTAACCTGTGAACCATTTCTGATGATAAATGGAAACATGGCACAAGAATGGGTTTGTGAACATCTAAATCAGTTTGGGATTAATTATTTCCGAATGACATTTTTTCAATGGCCATCCTAATGATCATTTACACAACAGTTGTAAGGCCGCAGCTATGAGAGAGTGTGAGAGTTTCTGGTGTTGATCATGACCTCCTTTCTACAGTTATTTCCTGTTTCAGGTGTATAGTGTTATATTTATCCTTCCGTGGACAAACCTGAAGACCAAGCTCTCACTTCCTTGTAAGTAAACAGGAACAGGAAGTCATACTTGAATCACCCAGGAGGTTCCATGTTATCATAAAACTGTCTATGGTGGTCGTAACAGGTGATATACTGGGTCGTCAGGTTCAGTGATGGTTGGTTATCATGGTAGCAGGATTGTTGCTCATCAATCATTGCGTTGCATGGTCCAGACATGAATAACTACAGGCCACCATCAAACAGCTGGGATATTGTCGACTACATTTAAAAACAAACCAATATCTAGGCTTCTGTCTGGGAAGTTATTGTTTACATATTTCTGAATAACAACTGACTTCAGTGTATAATACATTTTGCATTTATGGAAGTATGAACATTTAACACCGACGTGCCCACTGTAAACCTGCACACTACAGGATACACAACCTAACATTACATCAGACTCGATGTATTACAATGTGTTCTGTTGCTATTTCAGCCAGAAAGTCCTTCTACTACTATTCTCTGTTCCTGGCCATCTTGAACCTGACTCAGGCTGTTGGCAGTGGACTCATCTACTTCAGTGTGGGGAGGGGTCTGTGGTAGGTTCATGAGTGGACTCATCTACTTCAGTGTGGGGAGGGGTCTGTGGTAGGTTCATGAGTGGACTCATCTACTTCAGTGTGGCGAGGGGTCTGTGGTAGGTTCATGAGTGGACTCATCTACCTCAGTGTGGGGAGGGGTCTGTGGTGGGTTCATGAGTGGACTCATCTACTTCAGTGTGGGGAGGGGTCTGTGGTAGGTTCATGAGTGGACTCATCTACTTCAGTGTGGCGAGGGGTCTGTGGTAGGTTCATGAGTGGACTCATCTACCTCAGTGTGGGGAGGGGTCTGTGGTGGGTTCATGAGTGGACTCATCTACCTCAGTGTGGGGAGGGGTCTGTGGTGGGTTCATGAGTGGACTCATCTACCTCAGTGTAGGGAGGGGTCTCTGGTAGGTTCATGAGTGGACTCATCTACTTCAGTGTGGGGAGGGGTCTGTGGTGGGTTCATGAGTAGACTCATCTACTTCAGTGTGGGGAGGGGTCTGTGGTGGGTTCATGAGTAGACTCATCTACTTCAGTGTGGGGAGGGGTCTGTGGTGGGTTCATGAGTGGACTGATCTACCTCAGTGTGGGGAGGGGTCTGTGGTGGGTTCATGAGTGGACTCATCTACCTCAGTGTAGGGAGGGGTCTGTGGTAGGTTCATGAGTGGACTCATCTACTTCAGTGTAGGGAGGGGTCTGTGGTAGGTTCATGAGTGGACTCATCTACTTCAGTGTAGGGAGGGGTCTGTGGTGGGTTCATGAGTGGACTCATCTACCTCAGTGTAGGGGAGGGTCTGTGGTAGGTTCATGAGTGGACTCATCTACTTCAGTGTGGGGAGGGGTCTGTGGTAGGTTCATGAGTGGATTCATCTACTTCAGTGTGGGAGGGGTCTGTGGTAGGTTCATGAGTGGACTCATCTACCTCAGTGTGGGGAGGGGTCTGTGGTGGGTTCATGAGTGGACTCATCTACCTCAGTGTAGGGAGGGGTCTGTGGTAGGTTCATGAGTGGACTCATCTACTTCAGTGTGGGGAGGGGTCTGTGGTAGGTTCATGAGTGGACTCATCTACTTCAGTGTGGGGAGGGGTCTGTGGTAGGTTCATGAGTGGACTCATCTACTTCAGTGTAGGGAGGGGTCTGTGGTGGGTTCATGAGTGGACTCATCTACCTCAGTGTAGGGAGGGTCTGTGGTAGGTTCATGAGTGGACTCATCTACTTCAGTGTGGGGAGGGGTCTGTGGTAGGTTCATGAGTGGACTCATCTACTTCAGTGTGGGGGAGGGTCTGTGGTAGGTTCATGAGTGGACTCATCTACCTCAGTGTGGGGAGGGTCTGTGGTGGGTTCATGAGTGGACTCATCTACCTCAGTGTAGGGAGGGGTCTGTGGTAGGTTCATGAGTGGACTCATCTACTTCAGTGTGGGGAGGGTCTGTGGTAGGTTCATGAGTGGACTCATCTACTTCAGTGTGGGGGAGGGTCTGTGGTTAGTTCATGAGTAGACTCATCTACCTCAGTGTGGGGGAGGGGTCTGTGGTGGGTTCATGAGTGGACTCATCTACTTCAGTGTGGGAGGGGTCTGTGGTGGGTTCATGAGTGGACTCATCTACTTCAGTGTGGGGAGGGTCTGTGGTTAGTTCATGAGTAGACTCATCTACCTCAGTGTGGGGAGGGTCTGTGGTGGGTTCATGAGTGGACTCATCTACTTCAGTGTAGGAGGGTCTGTGGTGGGTTCATGAGTGGACTCATCTACTTCAGTGTGTGGGGAGGGGTCTGTGGTGGGTTCATGAGTAGACTCATCTACTTCAGGGTAGGGAGGGGTCTGTGGTGGGTTCATGAGTAGACTCATCTACCTCAGTGTAGGGAGGGGTCTGTGGTGGGTTCATGAGTGGACTCATCTACTTCAGTGTGGGGAGGGGTCTGTGGTAGGTTCATGAGTGGACTCATCTACTTCAGTGTAGGGAGGGGTCTGTGGTAGGTTCATGAGTGGACTCATCTACCTCAGTGTGGGGAGGGGTCTGTGGTGGGTTCATGAGTAGACTCATCTACTTCAGTGTGGGGAGGGGTCTGTGGTGGGTTCATGAGTGGACTCATCTACTTCAGTGTGGGGAGGGGTCTGTGGTAGGTTCATGAGTGGACTCATCTACTTCAGGGTAGGGAGGGGTCTGTGGTAGGTTCATGAGTGGACTCCATCTACTTCAGTGTGGGGGAGGGGTCTGTGGTAGGTTCATGGAGTGGACTCATCTACTTCAGTGTGGGGGAGGGGTCTGTGGTGGGTTCATGAGTGGACTGATCTACCTCAGTGTGGGGAGGGGTCTGTGGTGGGTTCATGAGTGGACTCATCTACTTCAGTGTGGGGAGGGGTCTGTGGTTAGTTCATGAGTAGACTCATCTACCTCAGTGTGGGGAGGGGTCTGTGGTGGGTTCATGAGTGGACTCATCTACTTCAGTGTAGGGAGGGGTCTGTGGTAGGTTCATGAGTGGACTCATCTACTTCAGTGTGGGGAGGGGTCTGTGGTGGGTTCATGAGTGGACTCATCTACTTCAGTGTAGGGAGGGGTCTGTGGTAGGTTCATGAGTGGACTCATCTACTTCAGTGTGGGGAGGGGGTCTGTGGTGGGTTCATGAGTGGACTCACCTACTTCAGTGTGGGGGAGGGGTCTGTGGTAGGTTCATGAGTGGACTCATCTACTTCAGGGTAGGGAGGGTCTGTGGTGGGTTCATGAGTGGACTCATCTACTTCAGTGTGGGGAGGGTCTGTGGTGGGTTCATGAGTGGACTCATCTACTTCAGTGTAGGGAGAGGTCTGTGGTAGGTTCATGAGTGGACTCATCTACTTCAGTGTGGGGAGGGTCTGTGGTAGGTTCATGAGTGGACTCATCTACTTCAGTGTGGGGAGGGGTCTGTGGTAGGTTCATGAGTGGACTCATCTACTTCAGTGTGGGGAGGGGTCTGTGGTGGGTTCATGAGTGGACTGATCTACCTCCCAGTGTGGGGAGGGGTCTGTGGTGGGTTCATGAGTGGACTCATCTACTTCAGTGTGGGGAGGGGTCTGTGGTAGGTTCATGAGTGGACTCATCTACTTCAGTGTGGGGAGGGGTCTGTGGTGGGTTCATGAGTAGACTCATCTACCTCAGTGTGGGGAGGGGTCTGTGGTGGGTTCATGAGTGGACTCATCTACTTCAGTGTGGGGAGGGGTCTGTGGTAGGTTCATGAGTGGACTCATCTACCTCAGTGTGGGGAGGGGTCTGTGGTAGGTTCATGAGTGGACTCATCTACTTCAGTGTGGGGAGGGGTCTGTGGTAGGTTCATGAGTGGACTCATCTACTTCAGGGTAGGGAGGGGTCTGTGGTGGGTTCATGAGTAGACTCATCTACTTCAGTGTGGGGAGGGGGTCTGTGGTAGGTTCATGAGTGGACTCATCTACTTCAGTGTGGGGAGGGGTCTGTGGTAGGTTCATGAGTGGACTCATCTACCTCAGTGTAGGGAGGGGTCTCTGGTAGGTTCATGAGTGGACTCATCTACTTCAGTGTAGGGAGGGGTCTGTGGTAGGTTAATGAGTGGACTCATCTACTTCAGTGTGGGGAGGGGTCTGTGGTAGGTTCATGAGTGGACTCATCTACTTCAGTGTGGGGAGGGGTCTGTGGTAGGTTCATGAGTGGACTCATCTACTTCAGTGTGGGGAGGGGTCTGTGGTGGGTTCATGAGTGGACTCATCTACTTCAGTGTAGGGAGGGGTCTGTGGTGGGTTCATGAGTGGACTCATCTACTTCAGTGTAGGGAGGGGTCTGTGGTAGGTTCATGATTGGACTCATCTACTTCAGTGTAGGGAGGGGTCTGTGGTAGGTTCATGAGTGGACTCATCTACTTCAGTGTGGGGAGGGGTCTGTGGTAGGTTCATGAGTGGACTCATCTACTTCAGTGTGGGGAGGGGTCTGTGGTAGGTTCATGAGTGGACTCATCTACTTCAGTGTAGGGAGGGGTCTGTGGTAGGTTTATGAGTGGACTCATCTACTTCCAGACCCACAATACATTCAGGACTTTCAAGAACCTTTATGTAGCCCTTAGCCAGATAATGTCTTCTGTGTTTTCTGTACAAAATACATCATAAGCCTGACCTTTTAAGTGGGTATTAATGGTCAATTGTTAAAGCTCTGGGTAAACAATAACACATTTTGTAAAATGTTCCATTTTTCAGACCAAAACCACAGTTTCAATCAATGTAGCTCTATACTCCTGTATAGAGGGTGTGCACAGTCACAATGGTAACCATTAGCTGGAACTGTGCGACCAGAACACACAAATGTAGAGAATGGACACAGTCAATGCATCCAGATGGATGCACACTATTATTCACTGTACCCCCACATCTAGGACTTTGCTAAGTGTTTGCTTGTTTCTCTCAGAGCAGTAACGTGCATCATTCCACCCATCAGTCCACATGATCAATGATTCATTCCTGGCTCTAAAGATTTTATCAGAACGTACAGTTCTCGACACTGTTACTTCACAGATCCCTCATATTGCCTGCAAGGACCCTTAAACAGTGTGCGAAATAGTTTCCAAATATTGCTAGCCAGGTGGGCTAGCTAAGACTGAAAGCTACTAGCCCACAAAATAATTCACTAGCCCAAAATTTGAATGTAGAAACCACGTATCATGAAGCTGTTAATATGATGAACATTTCTATCAGGCCATAATCTTGCATGATTTAAAAGTATATTAAATTTCTTCTTATAGTCGGAATGAGTGATATATTTATCAAATGACCCAATGAAAATTTACTCTAGCCAGTCGGGCCAGTGACTGTGGAGATTTACTGGCCCAACTGGATTTTTACTAGCCACGGGTTAGCGGGCCAGTGGCTATTTTGCACACTGCTCTTAAAACTAATAATTAGGTGGTCGAAGTAAAACCGTGTTATAAGGTGTGGGTCATTATACTAGGTATATCTAACAATGTGTAGATTGTTCAGAAGACCGAGATATATGGCTTGGTGTCCATGTTTACAGCGTAATGGTCTTGTTGTCTTGTGATGTGTTGAGGTACGGTGTTGGCCTAGTGTTCAGACAGCTTGTTTACCGTGTTTCAGTGTGGTGGATGTCACGACGTATGTCTACTTCACGTGTTTCGATCCCCTCGTCTACGGGACATTCTTGAGGGAGTTCTTCAGGTACTGTACAGTCAACTAACTTATGGTGAAGCCCATTTGTGGTGTCCCCCGCTGTGAATATTGCTAAAACCGGCGTAAAACCCAACTCACTCACTCACTCACTCAGCTAAGTAATGTTTGGTACATGTATCCCCATGCAAGTGAACCACTGTGACACAGCAGGGGCAGATAACTCTTTCACACTCTGAAACAATCTTCACAGACTGGGCAAGACTGGTTAGTGTGTCTCCAGATTGTTATGGTTGACAAAATAGCTTGGTTCTTAACCTCGTGTACAGACTCGGATGTCCACCTTGGTGCTATGTTGAAATCTGGTCTTATTATTGAATGAAATCCTCCCTAACAATGACTCTCTGTCTCCCTCACCCTTGTCATAACATTATTTGTTAATGTACCACTTGTCAGTTGTCACTCTCCGTCTCCCTCACCCTCGTCATGACATTATTTGTTAATGTACCACTTGTCAGTTGTCACTCTCCGTCTCCCTCACCCTCGTCATGACATTATTTGTTAATGTACCACTTGTCAGATGTCACTCTCCGTCTCCCTCACCCTTGTCATGACATCATTTGTTAATGTACCACTTGTCAGTTGTCACTCTCCGTCTCCCTCACCCTCGTCATGACATTATTTGTTAATGTACCACTTGTCAGTTGTCACTCTCCGTCTCCCTCACCCTCGTCATGACATTATTTGTTAATGTACCACTTGTCAGTTGTCACTCTCCGTCTCCCTCACCCTCGTCATGACATTATTTGTTAATGTACCACTTGTCAGTTGTCACTCTCCGTCTCCCTCACCCTCGTCATGACATCATTTGTTAATGTACCACTTGTCAGTTGTCACTCTCCGTCTCTCTCCTCTCCCTCATTGTCATGACATCATTTGTTAATGTACCACTTGTCAGATGTCACTCTCTGTCTCCCTCACCCTTGTCATGACATTATTTGTTAATGTACCACTTGTCAGTTGTCACTCTCCGTCTCCCTCACCCTCGTCATGACATCATTTGTTAATGTACCACTTGTCAGTTGTCACTCTCCGTCTCCCTCACATTGTCATGACATCATTTGTTAATGTACCACTTGTCAGTTGTCACTCTCCGTCTCCCTCACCCTCGTCATGACATTGTTTCTATTCATAGTCCTTTCTGAGACCTGTCTTGCATAATGCTTAGTTCACCATTGACATGTCAGTCCTTGTCAGTCCTTCTCAAGACCTGTCAATCATTATCATCCATCCTTCCAAACACCTGTCAATTATTATTCTCTATCCTTCCAAAGACCTGTCAATCATTATCATCCTTCCAAAGACCTGTTAATCATTATCCTCCATCATTCCAAAGACCTGTCAATTACTATTCTCCATCCTTACAAAGACCTGTCAGTCATTATTCTCTATCCTTCCAAAGACCTGTCAATCATTATCATCCTTCCAAAGACCTGTCAATCATTATCATCCATCATTCCCAAGACCTGTCAATCATTATCGTCCATCCTTCCAAAGACCTGTCAATCATTATCATCCATCCTTCCCAAGACCTGTCAATCATTATCATCCATCCTTCCCAAGACCAAGAGTACAGATTAAGCATCAAACAAAACCAACAAATTCAGTCTCTCCCTGTCAATCATTCTTGTGTGACCTTGCCCTTGCAGCATCTCCATCCCAAGCATCCCGTTCTCTTACAAGCATCAGGTGGACGAGATCCCCGACGAGGACACGCTCAGCCTGCCGTACCAGACGCCCTTCGAGCGGGACAAGGACGAGGGTGTGGCCTTCAGCAACAGCTTTGACAGCACCCACTTCAACCGACAGAGTCAAGCCAGTTCACCTAATGGTTCTGTTAACACAGTGCCACCTAGTCTCTCCATCAACAGCGATTACTATCAGGCTTCGGCCTAAGGGGAGATAACTGCCGACATCCCATCGTGCTAGGAGCCTTGATGTTGTGAAGCGGGTTTCCCAGTACCTTCAATATGCTGTTGTAGAAGTCCAGAGAGGCAATGGCAACATGTTATTTAATTTGTTGTCCTGCTATATGTGATGTAGATAATGCATTTGTGTGGAGCCTATGATCTGCATACACACATGTGTACTAGGATGGCTGAGCTGATGGTGTACTTATATAGTGTCGCAGATACAGGCCAACTGAGCACAGGCCCCTGTCTTTGAGGGTTGCAGAAACTGGACGCTGCGTGACTCTGCCTTGTTGCCTTTAGAAAGGGATTAAACTGGCACTTGTCTGTATCTCCTCAGAATTGTAGAAGCAACTTGTAGAATTCAGTGACAACTTGAGAATTCTTGCCACACTCTTGGACAACAGGAATATTGTGATGTTTTTCTGCGAATCTGTGAGTCTGTGACTTAGGGAATCTGAGATGTTTCTGTGAACTCATCGCAAGTGAACTTCTTGTCTGCCATTTTGTGTAGTTGTCTAGTCTGCTGATATCTGGTTCAATAAGCATCTTACAGCAGCATTGTTCTGTGTGGAAGTAGGGACAGCCTTCTGCTCGACAGGTCTGAACAAGCAGATGCTCATACTGGTGAGTCTGCCGGGTGCGACTGGTGAGTCTGTCCGGTGAGACGTTGAATCAAATAGGAAACACGAAATGTCATAATGACACTGCTTAACATAATTATTTATATTGAACAAATTTGATAATTTTGTGTGTTTTTGCTATTCTCAGTTGATTTGTATTTTTATGCATGATTATTATCATTTATACTCTGTGATGTTTTTTATGGCAAAAGTTACTGAAATAATTTCTGTAACCATGGTAACCATCACCCAGCTTTTTTTAAAGATAACTTGTCGAGGAAACCCAGCTAAGGAAAAAAATATTTTACCGAGATATGTTACCATGGTTACTTGAAATGCGTGACATATTTGCCTTAACTGTACTGAACGAACATAACCACAAAGAGGATCCCAATCTGTTGACTCCATGGAAGTGAGGGGTGTTGGGTCACTCAGGTGAACTTGCATATCATGATCAGGCTGTTATGTTTTGATATGCTGAATCAGGCTCCACCAACACTTTCATGATGAAAGATAGACTTGCAACCAACAATATGTGGAAATTACTTAGTGGTATAAAACTCCATTACAATGCTTAGCTTGATGGTTTTAATTCACCAACCATGGCTGATTTTGTGCATGATATAGGTGAGAGTTGTGTCCCTTGATACACTGACTGTTAAGGCAGACTCCGGCAGAGGATGTTGTATGGCTGACTGTTATTGGTGGCCTCAGGGTAAAGCTAAGTGACATGGAGTGATCGCTGAGTCGTGACAAATAGAAACATAATGGTCTGATGTTCATTATATGACTAATCGTTGTTTGTGTTGTAGCATGTTTTGCTGTGCAGTGTTTACACTTATATGATGAACAAAAATATCAGTTTCCATGGTAACCTGGCGTGATAGCATTGAGTTGTGGGAATGACTGACTATGTAACTTCTTTAAGTTGTTTAGCTCATGTTATGTATCATAATATTGTACATGTGATTATATCAAAAGATCTTTTGTTTGTGTTTCCTGCTGGTCCCCACCAGACCATGTAGACAAGAAGGATTGGTACATTGTGAGTAACACTACCTTATTTCATCCCACCAAGTGATGATTTGTAATACATGTTGCCTATTGAAATCCTGAAGTAGTTTAGACTTAATTGGTGCAGGTGGGAAAATGTACTGTTTATAAACATGATGAACAAAACTGTACTGTTTATAAACATGATAAACAAGTAAACATGTAGCCTTGACTATGGACCTGTAGATGAGGTTCGGGTTAGCGAGTGGTCCAGGGCAATTGTCCTCTGTGTAGAGATGCGCCATATAGTCATGCCAGCACCCTATAATCTTTGGTCCCAAACTTTCCCGGTTCGTGTTGTAGGTTTGTCATCACCTGTCATACTTCTGGGTGCCACCAAAGTGACAAATGTTTACAACTTGCATAAACAACTGACAAATTCAGTCCACTATTCGAACTGTAGACATCAGCTGGTATCTACAGGAGGACCAGAAAGTCCGGGATTTCTTTTAACATGTTTGCATGTTTATTGTGTATTATTTTCATAAGGCTGAAATAATAAAAACTGAGAGTTGAGGTATTAAGTATAAACACCTATGTCAGAATATTTATAGGCAAACCATGGTAACACAACTCGATCTTGCACTGGAACAGAACTTCACGATCCTAAACATACATATACTGAAGTAACTGACCAACCTTGTAGATAGCAGAATGTAGGACCCGCCTATCAGACTTGTAGTTGTCATCTGTTTTACTCTGCCATGATCCGACATGTACAAGTTGTCATTATGAGGTAATCCTAGTTCTGATGACCTGTCAGACTTGTAGTTGTCATCTGTTTTACTCTGCCATGATCCGACATGTACAAGTTGTCATTATGAGGTAATCCTAGTTCCGATGACCTGTCAGACTTGTAGTTGTCATCTGTTTTACTCTGCCATGATCCGACATGTACAAGTTGTCATTATGAGGTAATCCTAGTTCCGATGACCTGTCAGACTTGTAGTTGTCATCTGTTTTACTCTGCCATGATCCGACATGTACAAGTTGTCATTATGAGGTAATCCTAGTTCCGATGACCTGTCAGACTTGTAGTTGTCATCTGTTTTACTCTGCCATGATCCGACATGTACAAGTTGTCATTATGAGGTAATCCTAGTTCGATGACCTGTCAGACTTGTAGTTGTCATCTGTTTTACTCTGCCATGATCCGACATGTACAAGTTGTCATTATGAGGTAATCCTAGTTCGATGACCTGTCAGACTTGTAGTTGTCATCTGTTTTACTCTGCCATGATCCGACATGTACAAGTTGTCATTATGAGGTAATCCTAGTTCGATGACCTGTCAGACTTGTAGTTGTCATCTGTTTGACTCTGCCATGATCCGACATGTACAAGTTGTCATTATGAGGTAATCCTAGTTCCGATGACCTGTCAGACTTGTAGTTGTCATCTGTTTTACTCTGCCATGATACGACATGTACAAGTTGTCATTATGAGGTAATCCTAGTTCCGATGACCTGTCAGACTTGTAGCTGTCATCTGTTTTACTCTGCCATGATACGACATGTACAAGTTGTCATTATGAGGTAATCCTAGTTCCGATGACCTGTCAGACTTGTAGTTGTCATCTGTTTTACTCTGCCATGATACGACATGTACAAGTTGTCATTATGAGGTAATCCTAGTTCCGATGACCTGTCAGACTTGTAGTTGTCATCTGTTTTACTCTGCCATGATACGACATGTACAAGTTGTCATTATGAGGTAATCCTAGTTCCGATGACCTGACAGACTTGTAGTTGTCATCTGTTTTACTCTGCCATGATCCGACATGTACAAGTTGTCATTATGAGGTAATCCTAGTTCCGATGACCTGTCAGACTTGTAGTTGTCATCTGTTTTACTCTGCCATGATCCGACATGTACAAGTTGTCATTATGAGGTAATCCTAGTTCCGATGACCTGACAGATTCCAGGACAGGCTAGATGTGTGGTGACACGTACCTAAACAATGTACCTCATGTAGCGAGGGAGTTTGTACCCCCTTGTATCACTGTAATATTGAACTAGCTAGTTCCTCTATATTGATTTGACGCCTCCTTAAGGCATATGTGATATGTGTTGATGGTTTTGTTCTGTACATTGTTTAAAATTCTCCTGCATTTACTCCCTTATAGTGACAAGGCTGTGCCAATATACGATGCTAATGTTTGATGTTTTCTGTAACTACTCTGAACTTTTGTAGCATGCATTGAGGAGCAGACCAAGTCATGTCTTGTATCAAAGACTACTCTGTACTATTGTAGCATGGATTGAGGAGCAGACCAAGTCATGTCTTGTATCAAAGACTACATGTATTTTTGCAAGATGTCCAGATGATGATATTGGTGTTGATAAGGGTCATTCTGCAAGATTCTTTGAATTTCATGCCTATGTAAATGTTTTTGCCAAACTGTAACTTTAGCTAGTCACAAGAAAACGTATGTTACAGTTGTACAACTGTTGTGGTCACCACACACGGTGGATTGTTCAGGTAGAAGCAGCTAATCATGTATTTGTGTATTGGGTGGTGTCAGCTGTTGTGGATTGTGTGTCACTATCCCGGTATACTGCCGGGATGTGTCACTGGATTGTCTGGTTACCCCCGGTAACCCTGGCTTATATACACTCTGCCATCATATTGCTGGAATACAGCACACTGTGGCGCTGAACAACAACAGAAAAAACAAGCAACAAAATTCCATTTACCATGTCTTCTTGGGCAGGACACACGCAGACCATTTAATTCAGGTGAGATATAATAGTATGTTCTACAATCTTTCCTAATGCTTATTCTTTTTCTTTTTGAATCAGAATCTATTTTCATCTATAACAAATGTAATACGGTTTTATTAATAGTACTGATTTGTAAGTAAGCTGAGAAAAGTTGTCTTCCTGTAATTACATGCTATTTCAAGAATACGTGAGAAACAAAAATGTTGAAAAAAGTGAATTATGAAAAGTGTGTTTTTTTTGCAGGTACTTTTGATTCATGTTTATGTCTGTTTGATTGGCAGTTTACAAGTTGATGAGTAATATGAAAGGTAGGATACTTCATGGATGACAACTTAGATTATAATGCTCGGTTATAGATTCTTATACTGTTGATACTCTCTCTCTCTCTCTGTGTGTGTGTGCACGTGTGTGTTTGTGCGCTTCGTGCGCGCTCGCAAATAATTGTTTGTAAATGGTTAAGTCTTTCAGGTGTACACAACAAGCCACTCTCCCAGACTGACCAACAGTTTGCAGATTGGTCAAAACAACAAGTCACATATCAAGTAGTAGTTCCTTCACAGCCTTGTGTAATCTCCACTGAGCAAATCAAACTGTCCCATGCCCTATAACTCTAACTTGTTTAAATTTAAATAATTTATTTTAGTTCTGTATAAATCCTAGGTTAACACAAGCTGACACAACTTTTTAAAGAACTGAGAGAAGTAGTATTATACACACAAGGGCTACGGGACCAGGTACCCCCCACCCCCCACCCCCCCTAAGGGAAGTCCCTAATCCCGTAGCCCCATTGTGTATACTACTACTGAGGTGCATGCAAAATTTGATGAAAAACGGTCGAATAGTTTCTGAAATATTGACTTTTAAGTGAGTCGGGAAAATGGCTCGGGTCGCCTTGGGGGTGGTTGCCCCTCCGAGCGCTGTGGGCGGACGAGTCGCAGTGCGTGTGTCTCTCTCGGCTTGGTGTAGGGGTGGCTGGCTGGCTGGCTACATTAAGCAGAAACATAGGCATGCGAGACTGATAAAAAATCATGACGAGAAACTATCATCACTCGGTGGGTGATGTGTAAGGGACTGTGTCGTGAGGCACGATCATCTTTCAAGTAGTACAAGTTCGGTTCGCCGTCTTTGATGTCGACAAGGTCGACGTTGTACGTTTTCATGGACCATATCGGATCGTATTCTCCCGGCTGGTACAAGTGTCTAACGCTGACCCCGTCCAGTTGTTTTCTCTGTTTTATCGCGACGTGCTGGTGACGATTCAACAAAAAGTTGGACATTTTACCTTTTCCCAACCGACCCCATGCTCACAGAAAAGTCAATATTTCAGAAACTTTGCCACCGATTTTCATCAAATTTTGCATGCACCTCAGAAGTAGTATACACAATGGGGCTACGGGATTAGGGACTTCCCCAAGGGCTCAATTTAAAATTGAGGGGGAGGGCGTAGCCCCATTGTGTATACTACTAGAGAATTCATGAGCTGTGTTAAACATTCACAAGTGGCAGGAAAACATGATGACTGTTAGTTTTGTGTTTGAGTATATGGACACAGAAGCATAATGTTGCTTACGTCACTGGACAAACAAAGGGGCAGGTGTTTGTATCCTGCTCCCGTTTGGAGTGTTGTCTTGCCGTCTCCCAACTAGTGCAATTCTGTCAGTTATGATAGTTTTATTTTTTGTTAAGTCATATATTTTCATACATGTAAATAAATCAGTCATTAACTGATGTCAAGTGTGCATGCAAATTTAAGGAAATAAATTTGAAATGTGGTTCAAGATGTTTTTGATGAGTGTGGTACGTCTGAAGCCGACACTGGTCGCTTTGGGTAGAAGCCTCCTTCGGTGACTATGTACAGCGTCCGTCCACAGAGGAGAAGGTCGGTGGTTGGAACTGCTGGTCACGTCATGAGAGGAGAAGGTCGGTGGTTGGAACTGCTGGTCACGTCATGAGAGGAGAAGGTCGGTGGTTGGAACTGCTGGTCACGTCATGAGAGGAGAAGGTCGGTGGTTGGAACTGCTGGTCACGTCATGAGAGGAGAAGGTCGGTGGTTGGAACTGCTGGTCACGTCATGAGAGGTGAAGGTCGGTGGTTGGAACTGCTGGTCACGTCATGAGAGGTGAAGGTCGGTGGTTGGAACTGCTGGTCACGTCATGAGAGGTGAAGGTCGGTGGTTGGAACTGCTGGTCACGTCATGAGAGGAGAAGGTCGGTGGTTGGAACTGCTGGTCAAGTCATGAGAGGTGAAGGTCGGTGGTTGGAACTGCTGGTCACGTCGTCACGTCATGAGAGGAGAAGGTCGGTGGTTGGAACTGCTGGTCACGTCATGAGAGGTGAAGGTCGGTGGTTGGAACTGCAGGTCACGTCATGAGAGGAGAAGGTCGGTGGTTGGAGCTGCTGGTCACGTCATGAGAGGAGAAGGTCGGTGGTTGGAACTGCTGGTCACGTCATGAGAGGAGAAGGTCGGTGGTTGGAACTGCTGGTCACGTCATGAGAGGAGAAGGTCGGTGGTTGGAACTGCTGGTCACGTCATACCA